CTCTCTCTCTCTCTCTCTCTCTCTCTCTCTCTCTCTCTTCCCCAGAGGTCCATTAGCAGAGAAGCCTCCGGTCACACACACACACATACACTCTTCCCCAGAGGTCCATTAGCAGAGAAGCCTCCGGTCAGCCAGGCCCTCCCGACTTCCTCCAGAATGACCGCCCCTCCCCAGGCCCCTCGGGGCCCATGATCTCACTCTTCCCGCCCACCTCCCCACCTGGAACACAGCCTCTCACCCGCTTCAGCATCACAATCCCCAGTACAGCGATGCCAGTGAAGAACAGGGCGACCAGCAGCATGAGCACGGCCACCGCCGGGTTGGCCTTCAGCACCACCAGAGCGGAGATCCAGCCACTGCCAGGAGGGGAAGGGGGCGGCGGTGAAGAGGGGCCGCTCCCGGCAGGGCCTCAGTCCTCCCGGTTTCTCTCGGCTGGTTAGGGAGCAAACGTGCCCTATTCCCGCCCATCCCACCAGGGGTCGCTCCCCTGTCAGCCTGGCGGCTCTCCAAGTACCAGGATCCCAAACTACATCCACTCTCTTCAAAGTTCACTTCCAGCTTCTGAACGACTGGCTGCGGGCTCTCCAAGCCTTTCCAGACATCCTCGCTCCAAACAGGCCTTTCTGTTGAGGGGGTCTCCGTCCCCTCTTCAAAAGTGCTTACGCATGCTTCCCCCAGGAAGCCGTCTCAGGTTGGCCACGTGCACCTTTCCTCCCCCAAACCTATGCCTGTCTAGAATTCTGACTGGGCTCTCTATCCTGGAAGTAGGTCCTGTCTCTCTCGTGAAGCTAGCACCTCCCAAGCGTAAAACACCACACCTCCTCCTCCTGAACAACCCCCACGCCAGTACCCAGGGCTGACTTGGTCTGGTGGAATGAGGGGAAGGGAGAGGGTGGATGGCAGCTTCACGGACCTGAACCCCCAACCTGGGATGCCAATGGCCTGCAGGACAAAGAGCACATCCTGGACGAAGAAAATGAAGAAGAAAACGAAGAAATTGAATGAACTGTCGCTCCTGCGGGACAGAAAAAATGGGGAGGGTTTGAGAAGAGTTACCGCAGGAGCAGCAGACGTGGGGCCCATCTAAGGTTCTCCACCACCCCTGGCCTCAGCTTACCGGAAGGCCTTGTACATGGGCCGGTACCAGCACACAAAGGAGCAGGGCGTGAAAAGGAGGGCCCAGAGGATAGAGAGCCCAAAGCCCGAGCCATTGCTGGTCTCCACGCAGAAGCTGGCCAGGCAGGCAAGAAAATTCAGAAGAAGAGCCAGCGTGCTGCCTGAGGGACGGAGGTGCAGGGCGGTGAGCCTGGGTGGCAACGCGAGCCCCCCTTCCCGCAGGAGCCCCCCACGCCCTCCTCGGCCAATCCGGCAGAGTAAGGAAAGGGACCCCTGCCTTCACCAAATCCTCAACTCAACAGGGGAGACAGGTCTCTTTGCAAAGACACTTAAAGGACTCAGAAAATGTTCACGCACCGGAACAAGAGGCGGGGGAAGACAAGAACACACTTTTGCTAGGAGGCTGGAGAACAGCTTCTAGATACCACGAAAGGAAAACGGGTGAAATGAGCCTTAGACTCAGAAGCTGAGAGGCGCCTGGGTGGCTCAGTCGGCTGAGCGTGTGACTTCAGCTCAGGTCATGATCTCACCATTCACGGGTTTGAGCCTTGCATCAGGCTCTGTGCTGACAGCTCAGAACCTGGAGCTGCTTCGCATTCCGTGTCTCCCTCCCTCTCTCTCTCTCTCTCTCTCTGCCCCTCACCTGCTCACACTCTCTCTCAAAAATAAACACCAAAAAAAAAAAACCCTCAAAAGTCGAGCAGAGATGAAATGCCGAGTTCTCGGAGAGTGGGCACTGGGGCAGGAAAGACGTAAAGGTACCACCTGCACTCTTCCTCCGGAAAAGGCTTGTCACTACTCACACATCCAGAGGTAGTACATGGTGGATACGGTCTTCTGAAATTCTTGGGGGATCTCCATGGAGATGTCCTGGAAGAAGCAGGGCTGGACTGGGCAAAAAGAAGGTAGAGGGGGCCAGTTGTTCTGTCGAGCTGTAAGGCACAGAGAGAGCGGGAAGACCCCAGAAGTGAGGCAGAGACCAACAAAGGAATCACCACCCTCCCTTCCACCCCAGGTCCTCTCTTCCATCTCCAGTTCAGGGTCCGAGGAGACAGAAGAGAGTGGCAAAAACAAGGCTGACAGTGTTTTCTGTTATTTGCGACTTCGGAGCACTGTCAAGCACTTTGCACGGATGGCCTTGTTTCCCTCTCACAACAGTCCTGTCCAACAAGCACAAACGTTATGCTATCTTTGTTTTACAAACAAGGAAATGGGGGCACCCGCTGGCTCCGTCGTAAGAGCGTGGGACTCTTGATCTCAGGGTCGTGAGTTCAAGCCCCATGCTGGGTGTAGAGATCACTTAAATAAGTAAGTATTTTTTCAAAAAGTAAGAGGGGCGCCTGGGTGGCGCAGTCGGTTAAGCGTCCGACTTCAGCCAGGTCACGATCTCGCGGTCCGTGAGTTCGAGCCCCGCGTCAGGCTCTGGGCTGATGGCTCAGAGCCTAGAGCCTGTTTCCGATTCTGTGTCTCCCTCTCTCTCTGCCCCTCCCCCGTTCATGCTCTGTCTCTCTCTGTCCCAAAAAGAAATCAATGTTAA